TCATGGACTTGCCCCGGTGGTTAGAATCAAACACCAAATTCTCACCATATCCTACCCCAGGCCACTCTCCCTCATCCCTCAGGACCTGCAGCCATCGTAGATGACTTTCTGCTTCTCCCACAGCCAAGGTCTTTTTCCTTTTAGGAACTTCATACGTGGTTTTCCTTCTGCCTGTAATGTTCTCCCATCTCCTACCCCTTCCTTCTCTCATCCCTTTATCTGGCTAACTCTAATTGATCCCTGAACATCTCATTTTAAATGCCAATTCCTCAGGGGGTTGTCCCAGCCTGGAACCCTCACCAGCTTCTCAGTGGAAATCTCATGTCCCTGTCACACACCGTCACAGGACCTCTATTCCCCTGGGCACCTGGCACAGGTGGATGCTGCGATGATTTTGCTGGGCCTCAGCACCTAGCACAGAACCTCCCAGCACACAAGCACCCAGCCGAGCAGAGGAGAATACAGGCCACGCCAAATAATCCATCGAAACATCCACATGTATTTAAAAACCAATAGGATTCTCTCAAAGCAGTTTTGCTTATTAACTATGAATAGGTGCCCCTTCCCCCAAACTCTTCAGACACAAAAAGCAAAAGTTTCACCATGCCCTCTGAACTTACTTGAAAATGCTCAACACAGGCCAGCAGAGACCCTGCCTGCAGCTTTCCCATCACGCTGCATTTCATAAGTTTTCTGCCCTCTTTCAGCATTTAAGCAATAACAACAACAACAAAAAGTACACCCCCACAGTCTGGCAGGCTTTGCTCCTCGGGATGCAGACTGCTTTCTTATCCCATACCTCAATGCTCATTACACAACAAAACGCACAAGACCTGGAACGACTAGAAATTCAGCCCAAGGTAAAATTCCACATTGACTTCAAAAGGAAGCCCCCAAGATAAAATGGTAAGAACTTTTGAAACCTTTTGCCATCTTGTAAGATACATACTATACCAAAATACCACCATTTTTGGTACAGAATCTATTTTTGCTGGGTACAAAGGAAATTAAATGAAAGTCTTTGTATAGCAAAGACACCAGGGGTGGTGCCCGGCAAGGGCGGTTCCTAACCCCACAGCGTATGGACTGCCTGAGGCGAGTAGGTCAACACTCAAGTACCACCACTTAGCACAACCCCACTGCGTGGCCGTCATGGGGGGTGGGGGGGTGCACACAAATAATTAGAAATATAAATTTAAAACACCACAGAGAATGAATTAGGAGCTAGTTGTGTGAATCCAAAAATGGGCCTGGGGAGGCCAGGAAGAGGAGAGGGTCCTGGAACCTGAATTTCTCAGGGGTGTGGGAGGGGAAGAAGGGGGAGAGGGAAAGCAAAGGAGAAGGAGGGAGAGAGATGGATCTCTTGCATAAATTCCTATTTTCTGGCTAGCCAAAAAAAAAAAAAAAAAATTCAAGACAGCATCTTGGGGAATAATTTCCTCTCTCTTCTGAACACAGATTGGGAACCGCTGGATTATAATAAACAAGATGCAGTATCAGTTACAGTAACTAAAATTTGTGGGGCTTGCTTCTTAATTTAAATATTATTTGATCAATTGAACTCTACTTGTCAAAAATATTTATTCTTGGGGCACCTGGGTGGCTCAGTTGTTGAGCGTCTGCCTTCAGCTCAGGTCATGATCCCAGGGTCCTGGGATCGAGCCCCGCATCAGGCTCCCTGCTCAGCGGGAAGCCTGCTTCTCCCTCTCCCACTCCTCCTGCTTGTGTTCCCTCTCTCACTGTGTCTCTCTCTGTCAAATAAATAAAATCTTTTAAAAAAATATTTATTCTACACGTCTACTTTTTTATAATGTGGTAACCCATGTACCACATGAAAAAAAATCTAGGTTAAAATCTTCTGACAAAAAGCTTTAGTTTAAATTCCCATGTGAAAATTTCTGCCCCAAATGGGTACTGGAGAAAGTTATTTTCTTAGCAACCGGTGACAGTGATAGTCTCTAATGATTACTGACAAACACTGAACACTTCTCGAGTTTCAAAAGAAAACATTAGAAATAATTATGAAATAACTTGGCCCAGAAATTACAATAAACCCAAATTTCAGAGAAATTAGGAAGCAATCCTTAGACAATTATTTTGAAATATGTCTGATGAAACACTGCGATGTGACGACGTTTTCTTTAAGAGAATGAAAAACAAAACGAGAGGAAGAACCCAGGATCTGGAGCAGAGTTAGCCATCCACCAGCGGAGCTGAACACAGCCCAGACTATACACAGACCCAGATGATACCTCAGCCCTCCTCCAGAATGCGCCCTTGATAAATACAGACGCGCTGTGCCTGCCAAACTGACTTTAGCTGGCGCATTGCCCTATGTCCAGTGAAAAGGGGATCATCCATTCATAGTCCCAAGGTGTAGGACTCCTCTGTTCCCAAAACTGTGTGTGACCACTGGATGGGTACAGAGGTCAACCATCACAGCCCTTCTTCCACCTGACCTGCCCATGTCCCTCTGCCAACCCCTCCCACTCCAGCACCCCCTCCTCACCCCTTACTATCAGGTGCAGACTGCCGAAATGCACAATTACGGGGCTAATCCATACAACCAGACACCATTCAGTTGTCAAAGCATGAGGTACGTCACAAATTTGCCTTCCTTTTAGCCCAGCTGATGGCTTTTTCTCCTCTGTCCCGCTCCCAGAGCCCACCATCCTCCACAGCCTAGAACCTCTATGCAGTGGCCATTCCCCAGGCCCCAGGAGCACAGCAGAAAGCACGAAAGTTGAGGCGGCTGGCTGTGGCTCCTTGGGACAAGGGTCTCCATCTGAAGTGTGGCGAGCGCTCCAAGTGGTGGAAAACACACCTCCTACACAGCAGAGGTTGAAGGAACCTAAGTCCCCTTGCGCTCCCCCTGCTAAAATCTACACTGGATCTGGGTAAAACATCTTCCCATCTCCTCAGATTGTTCATTTCTAAACATGAAAAGAAGTACTTCGGGTCTACACTGGGACCACTGGTCCTGGGGGCTATCTGGACCTCTCTCAGAGTGGGTAAGCCCCACTCTCACCCTTGGGCGATGGTCACCGGAGCGGGCCCGCAACCTCCATCCGCACCCACGAGGGGCCGTGTCCACTCTGAACCACTTCTAAGAATGGCACCTTCTCTCCACTCAAAGAGAAAAAAAGCCTCCGAGAGATTTTAAAGATAACGTCCTTTCTCTGTAGCTTAAAAAAAAAAAAAAAAAGAAAATGTAGCAGCCCTGCCAAGCATTTCCAAAAGCAGAGAAATAAATTTCAAAGCCTAGACACACAATGGGAAATGCAGGGAGGCAGGAAAAGTGAAAAGGACATGCTTCCTCGTTTTACCCTGTAGGACACTGTAACTCTTGCACTTTTTAAAAATCTTTGTATATGGCTAAAATGGTTTTTATAGGGCATTCACGTTTCTCAGAGAAACCTGCATCAGAACCCCAAACCAACAACATCCTGCCACCTATGACGCTGTCCCTGATGATGACCCAATTTATAGTTCGCAGAACAGAACCAGCCACAGAAAAGTTACTTTCTACTCCCTTAGGAAGGAACATGCCATGAGGCCCCGGAAGAGGAGCCAAGAACTGGGTCCCGTCCTCGCTCTGGCCACTAACTCAGCGTGTGACATTGGGCAGTTCACTTAGGGCATCTCTGGGCCTGTTTCCTTTTCTGAGAGCAGGTTGGGCCGAGATGATCTAAGGTCGCTTCCAGCCCTGAAATCTTGACATTACAGGAGCATGTGTAATTATGAGCATCCATGTTACTGTGGGGCTGGAGGAAGGAGGAAGCTTCTGGAAAAATGTCAACCTTGCTACGTGCCTCATTTATAACATAAGAATTTGTAGAACATTTTCACACATGATGACTCAAGATGTGGTTTAACGGAAATAAATCACTTTGTAATAATATACACATACATATATATTTAATTTTCATATAACAGAGGCATAATTCATTAAATAATATATACTCAATTATAACAAGCTACAAAGTAAGGTGGCAGTTAGCCTGAAATCTGACACAACGCGTCTTAAGATTTTTCTGCTTAATAAAATCATTTTGCCATTTTTAGAAATTACAAGTAACATCGAGGCAAAATATATTAATGGGTAACATTTTGTGTTACTTAAATAAAAAATACATGAATTATTTCATGCTTTGCATAATTCTACCTGTCATAGATTCGTTATAAAAATGTGTCTTCCATTAATTATTTCAAAAGTAGGAAGTCCAGCTCATGATATAAACAGATGGAAGAGAATATTCTAATAAGGCTGAGCCATCTTCTCAAGAGGTTAATTTATAAATTCCACTTTCAGAGCCTACAAAATCCAAAAGTACATTAAAAATATATGTAGACACACACTTTATGTTGTAGCCTCACTACTAAAACAAATGTTTCATATGTTAAACCCACGGGCTCTCAAAGCCACGGATGTACAGATCAAGTTTAACTTAAGCCTTCCCAAATTCATTTCTACTCTCTGTTTACAATCAACCAGCCCAGATAAAATTTGCTGATGCTGATGTAGAATGTCACTTGCCAACAATTAAGATAAATGGGAGTGGGAGGGGACTGGAAAGTCTGAAATCCAGCGCTTCCATTTTGAATTTTCTAATTCCCTCTTCTGCAACTCACCTCCACTAAATGAGTTTTTCAGAAAAGGATCTGGGGGTTGTGTTTTTTAAACAGCTTTGGCACCACTTTGTCTCCCCCAAACCATGGTGATAGTGCCCCATTAACTGGAGACCACGAGGCTAAACTAACCCAACACCAGGAGGAAAGGGTGGTGGGAAGATCTAGAAAATTTCTGGGTGGGTAACAGTCACTGAGGTCCAATAGCAGAAAACAAATTATCTTCTAGATATAAACCATATCCAAGACTATTCCAAAAATATATATTTTTAAAGAGAGAAAAACAGATAAACAAGGCCTGTTATCAACAAAGAATATTTTCTTCATCTCCCCCCAGTAAAGGAAGCAATGGCCTTTGTAAGGTCACTTACGACAATGTGTGCCGGCGACGGAGAGCGGGCATCCTTGAGGGCTTGTCTGCTCTGGAGGGTCCCCGCCTGGACATCAAGCAGTGGCCATTTCATCTGGAGATACTGGAGGGAGGAAACAAAATGAATGTGGCAAATGAATTTAGAAAAGAAACGCAAAACCGCTATCCCAAGACATAACTTCTGGGGTGCCTGATATACAGATGAGAAACTAAAAGGAGTAAGGACATGCAAATAACAACACAGAAAAAACGTAAAAGCATGCAAATAACAACAATATCAACAGAAGAATCATGCCATACCAACAGGTTCTTCCTTAGAGCTCACGTTCAACAGGTAGGTACGTTTATAGAACATCAACACTATTAGCAACTATAGAGTTTGGTCTTTGCATCCAAACGTCAGGCTGGCTCCAGATTACATGATTTCATTAATCCTGCCTCATTTAGAGGGAAAAGTAGAGATGCAGGAGAGACAAGAAGGGAGAGAACACAGGCCTTCCAAAGGAAGAAAGCAAACAGGAGTCTCAAGCCAGAGGCGTCCAGGAGACCATCAATTCCAGACCTGCTCTTTCAGTGACCTTCATTTCTAAAATGCCCTCATCCTTCACTCTAAAGTTGAGTGTGTGTATATATATATATATACGTGCAACTGTCCTTTAGTAGAAACTACTCCAGTAGATGAGGATGGAACCCCTCATCCAACCCAAAAGCTTATAAAACAAAAATACTTCTCAGGGCACCTGGGTGGCTTAGTCCGTTAAGTGTCCAACTCTTGGTTTCAGCTCAGATCATGATCTCAGGGTCTTGAGATCAAGCCCCAAGTCGGGTCCCACACTCAGCAGGGAGTCTGCTTGAGATTTTCTCTCTCTCCCCCCCCCGCCCCTCCCCCTGCTCGCTTATGCTCTCTCTCAAATAAATAAATAAATCTTTGGGGAAAAAAATACTTCTCAGTAAAAGATGTACAAACAGGGCACAGTACAATTTATACACTCATCTCAAAAGGCCCGAGAAATTCTTAAATATGCACAAGTTTGCCACAGAAATTAACTTAAAGGTATAAGCCAATGACATCTATCTCTGCTCTTCTCTGAGGTGGAAAATACATAGCACAAGGGAAAGGAAGTTACTTCTGTCACAAGTGATACATCAGCTTTCAGAAGGACTTGAACAATCAACTGACCCAACTCCCTACTGAAGAAACAAGGAAAAGTGAGGTGAGGTGGCTTGCCCAGTCACAGAGATACTTAGCACACATATAAGCAACTCCAAGGCATTTGACTTTGGTGGGTAACATCGCGCCAGTTTTACTCAGGAAACCTTCAGACAACTGAACAAAACCGAAGACACAATGCTAAGATTTTGATAAGAACATCATCAGCCTTTCTATCTCTGAAGGCCACCTGTTTAATGCACCAGTTAATGCTTGGAGGGAATATAAGGGGCCATCTTGATCTTTTCAGAGATGCCAAAATGAAATAAATGGCTAGTTTTCATACAAATTGTACAGGAAATTTTACTCAATGAATATTAATTAAACTCTCTGTACATAGCCTTCTTGTGAAGGATTAAGGAGATAGGAAGAGGTCAGCCCTCAGGGAGCTTATCCCCATGTGAGGGAACCAACTCACACTCAGATTAAGTCTAGATAGAAGGTAGTGGAAATGGCAGAGACTCAGGGAATTGTGCCTAGGGAATGCCAAGAAGAAAGACAGGATTTTTGAGTAGAGACTGGGGAAGGCTGCACAGAGTAGGTCTTGTTAAGTCAAGAAAGATTTCAACAGAAAGAAAAAGGACAGCCAAGGGCAGTCCAGAAAGAAGGAAGGGTTGGCTCAAATCTCATGTGAAATAGAAGGGCAAAAGCCACACACAAGCTTTCCCATAGGCTCCTTAAAGATATAACTGTCCAGCGAATTAAAACCAAACACAGTTACGCCTAAAACTAGAAGACCCTGGCCCACAAGCTACCTGCCAAAGTGCACAGCCATTTTCCCAACCTAGATCTGGACAAGGCGAGAGCACCTCTACAACCTCAACCTTCTGTTACCCAGAAGGCTCTTGTGTGAGGGAACCTGGTTACTGGTTCTGGTGACTCACCACAAGACCTTGCATCAAATCCCTTTGCTTCTGTGGACCTCTAGTTTTTCATCAGTCAACTGAGGGGGCTGTTCTATCTGGGATGGGGATGAGGGCGGGGCTGCCCCAGCACTTAAGGATTCTGGACTCCCAGACAGTAAATACCAGCAGGCACCCCACTCCCTGCCTCAGTCAGCCATATAATCAAGCCATTTCCAAGTATCTTCTTTGTCGACAGTAGCATCCCAAGTTGAGAGCCACTGTAATAAATGTTTCCATGGTCTCCCTCAGCCTGTAACTCAAGCCAGTGGGCCATGGGAACCTATAACGCCCCATCTCACCCTGACTGCTTCCCATTCTCACCTGCCACATAAATAGATGAGCCTCATTGCTCAGAACCACTCAATAGCATCATTTCCTTGAGGCCAATCAAAATGGACACCTGCCCATATTCATCTCTCCTCTCATAAAATCCTATGAGGAAAAATGCCAAGCTGAGTGCCACCCACCTATACCTCAGGCTACCCACGGTGGGCAGGGTTGGATTAACAGACAGGTTTCCATCTCTGGCCATCTGCAAAAACAGATTTGATCGCATCCAAATCCCGGCTCCATAGAATTCAGAAATTTAGGCTTTGTTTAAGGTGACAGACCTGCCCTGAGGACCCCACCAGAGAACTGTCATACCCATAATGCAATATTAACGCAGAGTCTTAGAATTCTTATTTTACATAAAAGCTTCATTGTGTGCCATATCCAATCTCCGCAGGCTACCTGCACCACTATTTTTATGAGCCTACATTTCAGCGCTCCAAGCCTACAATACACATAATTTTCAATTATGTTTGGGCAGCCCAGGATCACTGCCTATATAACATTACTGGTTGGAGGAAATGAGACTCGGCCCCACTGCCCAGAGAGAGCTAACCAAATCCAGATGGTGGAGGAAGACAGCCCCAATCGTGCTGGCTTACAAGGACTCCACGGTGACAGGCTCAAACTCTCCATCCCAGTGAAACTCGATCCCACAGAATGGCTGGGCCCCTGCAAATCTGTGCCCGTCCCCTGGAAATAACTGGCATTCAGGCTGACGAGGTTCCTTCTGGGGAAATAAGTATTATGTCAGGATTTTTCAAAGGAAGTTATTAACCTCCTCCAAAAGTGATGGGTTTCCCAGGTTCCTTCATCTTCTACAATTGGCCCTTATTAATAAGGAAAATAAATAAATAAAGGGAAGAAAAAGGAAATTAGGTACGATTATAGCCTCGAGGAAAATCTTTTCCTTCCTGGAGACACTAAGCAACAGGAAATTCTATTCTGTTGGGTCCTCAAGGAAGACCCGAAGGAGGAGGCATCTCAGGTTTATGAAAGGGCTGGAACGCCATGCCACATTGTCCCCCTGGTCCAACTTCGGTTTTATATCCTTTTGGGGAAGAAAAAAAAAAAGTTCCCACCATCCCACTATAAAAACAACACTAGGCTCCAGCTCCCTTCCTTTCAGGCCGCTCAGCGTGGAAATTATGAATTACCTACAAAAACATTAAACTTTTCAGCAAACTGCAATCAAACGGGGGCCGTGGGAATTCCTGCATTGAAAACTGTTGAAATGGAGTCCTGCTCAACTTGCATTTTGCAAAAAAAAAATAACAATAAATATATAAGGCCATCTTGGCTTAAGTGTTTCATCCTTTCTTTAATACTAATGTTCTGCTCATGGCCCATTAGGGTTTTTCCCCAAATCATATTTTATGATATGTCTCAGGGAGCTTAAGTTAAGCTTCAGACCTGTGGACAAAGTCTCGAAATATATACAAAATCAGTGGTCTGAATGGAATCAAGGAGCTTTAAAGGCCTGTTAAATTGTCAGCAAAAAAAGAAAAAGGTAATGCAACTCAAACTTCTCCTCCCCCTCCTCCCCCAATTAAAAAAAAAAAAAAAAAATGGACGAGGAAAGGCAAAGACAGAGGGATCTTCCGAACCAGAAGACCCCTCCAGGATCCAGGTACAAGTGGGCCTGAGGGAACCTGCTCCCAACAAAGGCACCCCCATCCTTGTGGGTCCAGCTTCATTCAGTAGTAAGGAGGGCGAGGAGGGGCTGTTGGAGAACCTGCATCTATCTGACGGCTGCTGAGGCCTCGGTACAAAAGTTAATATTCTAAATAAATAGGACAACCCAAAGGCCAATGATGATGCTGATGACAAAGTTCCCAGGAAACTCCACATCGCTGATAAAATACCAAAGCAGCTTGGCAGTACTTCCTGTCAGTCAGTCCACCTCACAGACGGACAGGCAAGGGGAGTCCATCCCCTTACTTGTTCAGGACAGAGTTGGCAAACTTTTTCTGTGAAGGCCCAGGGTACATATCTTAGGCTCTGCAACCCACACCGTCTTGGTCCTAATGGCTCGGCCGTGGTAACACAGAAGCAGTCATGGGCAATAGGTGTACCTACTATGTCATGGTCATGTTCCAGTAAAACTTTATTATAAATAGTGATAGATGGATTCCATAGGACTATCTTGTGTCAGGAACTATTCTTCTCTTGGTTTTTTTCAACCATTTAAAAATAATAAAAACCACTTTTATAGCTCAAAGGCCACACACAAAAAGAGGTGGCAGGACAGCTTCGGCCCTGAGCCATAGTTTGCTACCCGTGGCTTAGGGAATGAATGTGCAAAGATCTGACTTCGTGTCAGACAGGAAACATTCCTTCACTGGGCCTAAAATCCAGACAGCCGAACGCGATTATTCGGTGGCCCAAAAGCGACATTTTGGATTGAATCGTCACTGGCAGACTCCAGTTTGGGGAGAAGAGCTTGGAAAAGAATCTGAGCTCTCCAGCCATGACTCCCAGTCACAAGGTCTAACCACTAGACCACAATCTCACCGAAATAACTATCCGTCCTTTCCAAAATGGAAGTTTGAAAAGCCCTGAGCAATTCTGACTGGAAAAGGTTCTCGTGTTCGAAAGTTCTCACCCACTTACTTCCCAGGAAACACTGGCAATGTGTCACATGTCATCGAATCATCT